CCCGGCAAGGATGCCCTCGTTCAGTGCAACCAAAGCTTGAGAGTAGTCTTGTAGGTTTGGTGTTTGCAGCCATGTCTCCAGTGTATGCTTTCCTTTGGGCCCTGCTTCTTGGAAGTGAGTTGCACCAAAGGAAGGAAGCTGATGCAAACACCAATCTTGCAAGGTTGCTCTCCGACAAGATCTTTTGACAGCAATCAGGGGAAGTGGCTTGCAGGCCTTGTGATCTTACAGCCACACTTTTCTCTTAGTTCATAAAACAGGCATTTCTCCAAGGGTTTGCACCCGTCTTCTTTCCACCATGTCTTTTCCTTCTCTAGTTATGCCGTAACCTCATGGGAGAAAATTTCTGCAGAAGGGGCAAAAAGGGGGCAGCTGCGGAAGAGACGAGGGAGACTCAAATTGGTCTTTCCAGGTCTGGACCTCCCTTGGTCCCCTTGCATTTGGCCTCTTCCTCAGCACCGTTTTTGTGAAGACTTGAGTCCTGGTGTCCCAAAGAAGATGAGTCTCAATGGCCGTCACAACCAGTGTCCATCTAGCAAGCAAGCAGAGGTTTAGGAGAGCAAGGTTTGCAATAGGGCAGGGAAGAGCTCTCCTCTTCCAAAGCAGAGGCATTGCAAGGGGAATGGAGAGGAGTGTGGGGCCTAAAGGGACATTTGGAAGAAACAATGTGAGGTGAGGGTGCAAAGTCCCGCTCTCCCTGGGGACCACAGCAGAAACATGCAAAAGGGGCCCCCAAAGAGCAGCCACGATAACCATGATATAGTACCTTTCATGCTCTGATGGTGGCAAATGCAAGTCAGGTTTGCCCCATAGGTTTGTGTCTCTTATCTTCTGTGGCAGGAGGCCATTGGGGAGGCTCCTCCTTGGCCTCCTTGTGCTGCCGAGAGGCAGAACGGATGTTTCCTTCTCGTGCCAATGACTCTGCACTCGGTGGAACCGGCCTTTCCTGGCTGTGAGTCGACTGGAATAATAATTATTTTAAATAAAATGTGCATAATTTGTAGCAAAGGCTTCCTGGTTTTGTGTTTTTGGTTGTCAGTGGGAGGCGGGGAGGAAGATGTCTCTGTGTGTGTGTGTGCATGCAGACCTTCACTTGCCTATCAATTCCTGGCAAGCCCATGACTTTCCCAGACCGTTCCTTCCTCTGAAACAAGGCACCTGATATTTCTTGGTGGTCTCCCCTCTATGTATTAACCAGGGCTGGCCCTGCTTAGTGGCCAAGATGAGAGGGGATCTGGTGCCTTTTCAGGAGGTGGAACCGATTCTGAATGTGTTCCTATTTCCATTTTCTCCAGGCCATGAAGTGCGGAGGTTTTGGATCAAGGGGACACGAGTTCCCTTGATCCAAGGAACTGAAATGATCTAGGGTCTGGAGAAAAAGCCCTATGAGGAGTGGCTTAAAGAGCTGGGCATGTCTAGCATGAAGAAGAGAATCATAGAATCCTAGAGTTGGAAGAGACCTCATGGGCCATATACCTGTGGAATAATGTCCAGAGTGGGAGAAAGAACCATTGTAGAATCATAGAACCATAGAATCCTAGAATCAAAGAGTTGGAAGAGACCTCCTGGGCCATCCAGTCCAACCCTATTCTTCCAAGAAGCAGGAATATTGCATTCAAAGCACCCCTGACAGATGGCCATCCAGCCTCTGTTTAAAAGCTTCCAAAGAAGGAGCCTCCACCACACTCCGGGGCAGAGAGTTCCACTGCTGAACAGCTCTCACAGTCAGGAAGTTCTTCCTCATGTTCAGATGGAATCTCCTCTCTTGTAGTTTGAAGCCATTGTTCTGCGCCCTAGTCTCCAGGGAAGCAGAAAACAAGCTTGCTCCCTCCTCCCCCCACCAAGGAGGCTGTCCAGACCTTGAATCGGTGTCTAGCTGCTGTGTCGGACTGGATGAGAGCTAACAAATTGAAATTGAATCCAGACAAGACAGAGGTCCTACTGGTCAGTCGTAAGGCCGAACAGTGTATAGGGTTACAGCCTGTGCTGGATGGGGTTACACTCCCCTGAAGACGCAGGTTCGCAGCTTGGGAGTGATCCTGGACTCATCGCTGAGCCTGGAACCCCAGGTCTCAGCGGTGGCCGGGAGAGCTTTGCACAATTAAAACTTGTGCACCAGCTGCGCCCGTACCTTGGGAAGTCGGATCTGGCCACGGTGGTCCACGCTCTTGTTACATCCCGATTAGACTACTGCAACGCCTCTCTACGTGGGGTTGCCTTTGAAAACTGTTCGGAAACTTCAACTAGTCCAACGAGCGGCAGCCAGATTGCTCACCGGAGCGACATACAGGGAGCATACCACCCCCCTGTTATGCCAGCTCCACTGGCTGCCGATTCAGTTCCGAGCACAATTCAAAGTGCTGGTTTTGACCTACAAAACCCTATACGGTTCCGGTCCAGTGTATCTGTCCGAACGTATCTCCCTCTATGTCCCACCCCGAAGTCTGAGATCATCCGGGGAGGCCCTGCTCTCGACCCCACCACTGTCACAAGTGAGGCTGGTGGGGACGAGGGGCAGGGCTTTCTCGGTGGTGGCCCCCCACCTGTGGAACTCACTCCCGGGGGAGATTAGGGCATCATCATCCCTCCTCGCCTTCAGGAGGAGGGTGAAAACTTGGTTATGGGACCAGGCCTTTGGGCACTCTGGCAATTAAATCAGTCAATTAGGCAAGCAAGACCGGCAGGATGGATGAATGGAATGAAAATCTAGATCTAGGTGTTAACAAACACTGACCATGTAAGAGGAAAAATTGGGTTTGTATTTGGTTTTAATGTTTTTATTGATTTTATGGTTATATTGCATGTATATTATCCGTGAATTGTTGTAATTTTTATGTAATTTTGTGTATGATTGTTTATGACGCAGGCATCAAATTGTGCCTTGCTCCTGTAAGCCGCCCTGAGTCCCCTTCGGGGTGAGAAGGGCGGGGTATAAGAACCCCAAATAAATAAATAAATAAATAATTGAAATATATTGGCCATGTTCCAGCTGCATTCTCTCCTGACATTTTGCCTGCATCTGGGACTAATGGCATCTTCAGAGGTCTGTTGGAAGTGAGGCAAATGGAGTGTATTCCTTTCTGTGAAATAATGTCCAGGGTGGGATCCAAAAGCAAAATCAAGACAGTTAGTAAGGAACACCACTCAGAAACAAGGGAACTCCAGATAGCAAGCAACCAAGTGCCAGTGGGTTGCTGTAAGTATTTTGGGCTGTATGGACATGTTCCAAAAACGTTCTCTCCTGATGTTTTGCCAGCCTCTGGCAGGCATCCTCAGAGGTCAAGTGCCAGTCAACATCTCCCAAACAGAGGATGCCTCCAGGCAACAGGGGCCAGGCTACCTCTATGCAGATACCCTCACTGATCAATTTTGCAGCTTCATGGCTACTCAATGCTATTCAAGCTTGCTAATTGCAACCTCTTCGCTTGCTTCAGACAGACAAGGGTTCTTCCTCCCAGCTTGGACATTTCAGATATATGTATACGCCACCGACCAATCAAACCTCTGTAGATGCCATTAGACACAGATGTGTCACAAAAATATCACTGCAGCTTTGATAAATGTGGATTTAATGATGTGTGGGAATGAGTGGAAGAATGGAAGGTGTATGGATGGAGTTAATAATTTTGGAGACACCAGTATAATACTAAGGCTTGCAATGACTAACCACCTGCTTGCTGGACTATAATTAAAAGTTGCTAATGAGAAATGAACATGTTGGGACAATGGGTCTTTCAAGTTAAGAGAAATGTTTGCAACATTCCTTATGTTAAGAAGGAAGTCAACACCAGCCTTGACTTCCTTTCTCCCACCCTGAATATTATTCCACAGGTATATATACACCCTAGATATATACAGGTATATAGAACAGAAAATGGAATGTTGGTGGACAGGAAAAGAGATTTAAAGATGGGCTCAAAGCCAACCTCAAAAACTCTGAGAACTGGGAAGCCCTGGCCCTTGAGCGCTCCAGCTGGAGGTCAGCTGTGACCAGCAGTGCTGTAGAATTTGAAGAGGCACGAATGGAGGGTGAAAGAGAGAAGTGTGCCAAGAGGAAGGCGCATCAAGCCAACCCCAACCAATACCACCTTCCACCTGGAAACCGATGCACTCACTGTGGGAGAAGATGCAGATAAAGAATAGGGCTCCACAGTCACCTACGGACCCACCACCAGGATACTACACTTGGAGGACCATCATCCTCAGACTACGAGGGATCGCCTAAGTAAGTAAGTAAGTATACACCCCACTTGCCTCACTTGCAACAGACCCCTGAACATGCCAGTAGCCACAGATGCAGGTGAAACATCAGGAATGTATTGTCGAAGGCTTTCATGGCCGGAATCACTAGGTTCTTGTGGGTTTTTTCGGGCTATATGGCCATGTTCTAGAGGCATTTCTCCTGACGTTTCGCCTGCATCTATGGCAAGCATCCTCACCTCACTACCTCTGAGGATGCTTGCCATAGATGCAGGCGAAACGTCAGGAGAAATGCCTATAGGAGGGAATGCTGCAAGAACATGGCCATACAGCCCAAATACTCACAGCAACCCAGTAGAATTTGTGTCTGTACGTAGAAAGAGTTGGCCAATGTGTAAACAGTATCTCAAACTGAATATTTTGTATTCCAGTTTCCCATGTCCACTCTGTATGGCGACATTGGGGACACCTTGTAGAGTCCTCTAGTAACCTTTGCATAGATTGGGATGGAAGTCCTTTGAGGCTCCGGCAACAAAGGTGCAGCTGCCGGCGGAGCGAGCTTAACCTTCGATGTGAGGATGTCTATTTTTGTTTACGACCTGAGGGAACGTTTCAGGAGCGCGCAACCCAAGGGAACGTTTGGAAGAAGGAAGAGATGCTGTGGCTGCCGAGCAACACATTTGCTGCTCAGTTTGCAAAATGTGGCCTCGTGCATCCTTGCTTTGTTTGCACAAATGCACGCACACACGTCTTCAATCGAATGCCAGCCCCGCTCGCCCTGAACTTTGGCTCGGCACTGCTCTCAACTCTCTGCTTTTATTTTCTAGATGCAAATGCAAAACCATAACCACGAATCCGCACAAGCCCTCTTTGTGTGCGGAATGCAAAGGCTCCGTCTCCGCCGCAGCTGTGCGCCCCGTGCTCCGTTCCCCACAAAGGGCCACTTGTCCCCATCCGAGGATCACATCACATGTTTCGAGGGAAGAGGGAGACTTGGGAGGAATGATGAGCAGTCTCACTTGATGCTTTTGGCCGCCGGCTCCCTCACCAGGTTGAGCAGTTTGTCCAGCTTGGCAATCTCCACTTCTGGGCCTTTCTGCACCTCCTGGCCTTTCTTCTCCTACAAAGGCAGGAAAGACAAGCGGTTAGGGGCAAAGCTCTTAGGATAGGACTTTGGGGACTGTTTGGAAAGGAAAGACTCATCACCTCTTCTCCACAGGTGCATCTACGCTGCAGAATAAATGGGACACTATGGCCTGCATCAATAGGAGCCTAGTGTCTAGGTCCAGGGAAGTCATGCTACCCCTCTATTCTGCTTTGGCAAGCATCCTCAAAGGTAGTGAGGTCTGTTGGAACTAGGAAAATGGGTTTATATATCTGTGGAAAGACCAGGGTGGGACAAAGGACGCTTTGCTGGAGCTAGGAGTGAAACGCAGCGGCCAAACACGCATCAAGGAACATGAAAGGCACTGCAGACTCCTTCAACCAGAGAAGTCAGCCATAGCAGAGCACCCAAGGAACCAGCCTGGACACATAATATTATTGGAGAACCCAGAAATGCTGGACCACTCTCACAACCACCATGTCAGGCTACACAGAGAAGCCATTGAAATCCACAAGAAGCATGTGGACAATTTCAACAGAAAGGAAGAAACCATGAAAATGAACAAAATCTGGCTACCAGTATTAAAAAACTCTAAAATTACAACAGCAAAACAGCAGAGAGGAAACAATCAGGGACATCTAATCACCTCTCAACAAAAGATTGCTTCAGGCACTGCCAGGCCATCAAATGCTAATCAAGGTGGTCAGTTGAAACATTCACACCTAGCTCCAGCAGACAAGAGTCCTTTGTCCCACCCTGGTCATTCCACAGATATATAAACTCATTTTCCTAGTTCCAACAGACCTCACTACCTCAGAGGATGCTTGCCATAGATGCAGGCGAAATGTCAGGAGAGAATGCCTCTAGAACATGGCTGTATAGCCCGTAAAAACCTACCACAATCCAGAGATTAAAATAAAAACACAGTAAAAATACAGATACAAAACATCATAAAAAACATAAACCATCAGAAACACCCAGTAGCTGAGCAGAGTGGCCATATACTAAACTAAGGGGCAAGGCAGGTCTTGTGCAAAGCATCTGCAAAGGCAGTGCAGGAACCAGATGATAAGTTTGGGCTACCTTTTCAACATTGGTGAAGAAAGATTCAATTAACGAATCCTGGATAGGTATTAATGTTCGTGAGGATGTGTGTGAACGGGATCTTGTGCATCTTCAGCGGCCAAATTTCATAAAGTGTGTGATATTTATGTTATGCAGCCAAATATTTAGGCCAGAGCGAGAACAAGAGATCTGTCCCCTCTTGTGCAAAAACTTCCCTCCGCATTAACAGCAGGTTTAAATCCATGGTGATCAATAATTTGGCTCTTGGTGTTTTGGGCTTCAGCTCTAAGAAGCCCCAGGCAGGATGGTCAATGGGAGGTGAAGTCCAAAACATTTTGGGCACCACAATTCAAGACAGACATTGAAAAGCTGGAATGCGTCCAGAGGAGGGCTACTAAAATGATCAAGGGTCTGGAGAACAAGCCCTATGAGGAGCGGCTTAAGGAGCTGGGCATGTTTAGCCTGAAGAAGAGAAGGCTGAGAGGAGATATGATAGCCATGTATCAATATGTGAGAGGAAGCCACAGGGAGGAGGGAGCAAGCTTGTTTTCTGCTTCCTTGGAGACTAGGACGCAATGGAACAATGGCTTCAAACTACAAGAAAGGAGATTCCACCTGATTCTATGGAGAGCCCAATGCCTCTGACCCATGACTCATTTCAACCTTCTCTTCTGAGGCTAAGCATGCCCAGTTCTTTAAGACGCTCCTCAGAGGGATTATTCATGGTCTCCAGACTTCTGATCCTTTGAGTCATCCTCTTCCTCTGGACCTAGACTCAATACCTCTTTTAAACTGATCTGCCCTGACCAAAGCAGAAGAGAGAGGCACCACAACTCAATCTGGACACTATTCTCCTTCAGATGCAGCCCAAAATCCCATTGGCTTTATGAACTGCTGCATCACATTCTTGGATCCTGTTCAGCTTGTTCTCCATGAAGACTCCATTCTATTTCTCAATGGACTGTTGAGGAGCTAGGCATCTAGGGAAGTCATGCTACCCCCCTATTCTGCTTTGGTTAGACCACACCTGGAATATTGTGTCCAATTCTGGGCACCACAATTCAAGAGAGATATTGACAAGCTGGAATGTGTCCAGAGGAGGGCGACTAAAATGATCAAGGGGCTGGAGAACAAGCCCTATGAGGAGCGGCTTAAGGAGCTGGGCATGTTTAGCCTGAAGAAGAGAAGGCTGAGAGGAGATATGATGAGGACCATGTATAAATATGTGAGAGGAAGCCACAGGGAGGAGGAGGGAGCAAGCAATGGGACAATGGCTTCAAACTACAAGAGAGGAGATTCCATCTGAACATGAGGAAGAACTTCCTGACTGTGAGAGCCGTTCAGCAGTGGAACTCTCTGCCCCAGAGTGTGGTGGAGGCTCCTTCTTTGGAAGCTTTTAAACAGGGGCTGGATGGCCATCTGTCAGGGGTGATTTGAATGCAATATTCCTGCTTCTTGGCAGAATGGGGTTGGACTGGATGGCCCATGAGGTCTCTTCCAACTCTTTGATTCTATGATTCTATAGAGAGCCCAATGCCTCTGACCCATGACTCATTTCAACCTTCTCTTCTGAGGCTAAGCATGCCCAGTTCTTTAAGACGCTCCTCAGAGGGATTATTCATGGTCTCCAGACTTCTGATCCTTTGAGTCATCCTCTTCCTCTGGACCTAGACTCAATACCTCTTTTAAACTGATCTGCCCAGAATTGGACACAGTGTGATTCCAGGTGAAGAGGTCTGACCAAAGCAGAAGAGAGAGGCACCACAACTTCCCTCAATCTGGGCACTATTCTCCTTCAGAAGCAGCCCAAAATCCCATTGGCTTTATGAACTGCTGCATCACATTCTTGGAACCTGTTCAGCTTGTTCTCCATGAAGACTCCATTCTATTTCTCAATGGACTGTTGAGGAGCTAGGCATCTAGGGAAGTCATGCTCCCCATGCTATTCCGTTTTGGTTAGACCACACCTGGAATATTGTGTCCAATTCTGGGCACCACAATTCAAGAGAGATATTGACAAGCTGGAATGTGTCCAGAGGAGGGCGACTAAAATGATCAAGGGTCTGGAGAACCAGCCCTATGAGGAGCGGCTTAAGGAGCTGGGCATGTTTAGCCTGAAGAAGAGAAGGCTGAGAGGAGATATGATAGCCATGTATAAATATGTGAGAGGAAGCCACAGGGAGGAGGGAGCAAGCTTGTTTCTGCTTCCCTGGAGACTAGGACGCAATGGAAGAATGGCTTCAAACTACAAAAGAGGAGATTCCATCTGAACATGAGGAAGAACTTCCTGACTGTGAGAGCCATTCAGCAGTGGAACTCTCTGCCCCGGAGTGTGGTGGAGGCTCCTTCTTTGGAAGCTTTTAAACAGAGGCTGGATGGCCATCTGTCAGGGGTGATTTGAATGCAATATTCCTGCTTCTTGGCAGAATGGGGTTGAACTGGATGGCCCATCAGGTCTCTTCCAACTCTACGATTCTATGATTCTATCACCCATCCTGTATCTTTGGATTTCTTTTTTCTGCCTATGTGCAGGATCTTTGTCCTTGAGGCCAACCTTCCTGAGTGCAAAAGACAAAAGGATCTTGCAGGAGGGATAGATGTTCCAGATCTGGGAAATGAGCCATTTTATTTCCTCTGTGCTTTTTTTCAAGGATACAGTGATAGGCAGAGAAGGTTGACAGCACAGGCCTATCTATCTGCATTTTAAATCCCAGATTTGAGTGGAGAGGAACCTCAGGGGAGGATGGAGTGGGACAAGTGTTTTGTGTCAAGCCGCTGTCTTTGTCACTGGGGAAAGGAAGAAGGCAACAAACAAGACCGCGTTCTGCCACCATTGACCCCACTGTTTTGCTCATTTCCTGGCAGTCTGCCTCTTTTTGTCTTGCCCCTGCCTTTGTCGTTTTATGCAGCATAAAAACCTCACTTATCATCTGAACTGCATCAAAAGAAAAACAGTGTCTAGATCAGTATTTATCAACCTGGGGGTTGGGACCACTGGAGGTTTGCAAGGGGTGCCAGAGGGGTCACTAAAGACCGTCAGAAAACACAGTATTTTCTGTTGGTTATGGGGGTTCTTCTGGTTGCTTCTGGAGGAAGGAATCCCACTGGAGCATTGCAGCGCACCCTAATCCCTGGGAGCCACTCTGGACCGTGCTCTGACCTACAAGAAGCACTGCCTGAACATCAAGCAAAAAGTGGGCGCTAGAAACAACATCATACGAAAGCTGACTGGCACAACCTGGGGATCACAACCAGACACAGTGAAGACACCTGCCCTTGCGCTATGCTACTCTGCCGCTGAGTACGCATGCCCAGTATGGAACACATCTCACCAAGGGCTTGGCGGTACTGAAGTCAAAGTGGGCCATTCGCTGTGGTGCAGTCCAAGTGTTTGACTGCAATTTCAGAGACCTGGGTTTGAATCCATGGAAATCCATTGCGTGACCCTGGGCACGTCACACTCTCTCAGCCCCAAGAATCCTATGAACTTACCTTTGGGTGACTTGAAGGCATACAATGGCAAAAACAAAAGCACCAAGTTTGGCACCTACTGAAAACTATGTGTTGGTCTCCAGCCAAAACAGAAATGAATGGGAATTGGGATGTGTCCCAGCTGGCATGGCTCCCAATGTTCCTTTCCGAAGGCACAGCATCCGCCACGGAGGAACCAGAGCCGATTGACAGCTCTTTAAAATCATGGCCAGCCTTCTGCTGGAATCAACCAAGTCACAATCGCGTAAAGTTGAACAGGATAATAGTGATGGAGAGAGGTCAGAGTTCCACTCTGTTCTTCTTTGGGAGGGCTTGGCTTGTGTCTATGGCAGAAGGGAGTCAAACTGAATGACCTTTGGGGGTCCCTTCCTACTCCAGTATAATATGAGGCTGTTTCACAGTCCAGAGCCCCCTTTTCTGGAGGCTTTTAAGCAGAGGCTGTCAAGAGGGCTTTGACT